AAACATTCTCTTTGCAGCAGTAGTAACTAAGGCGACGGACGACGACGACAACAAACGACCAATGCGGCGGCGAAATGGTCAACAGCAGCACATTGTCACTTATTTAACGTCGAATGCTCGAATGAATGCCCGAATCCGAACAGATAAATGGATGGATGGATATGGATGAACTGCAGAGTAGGGTTGTGGCTGATTGTGCAGTGGAATCAGAATTTAAGTAAAACGACAAAGAAGGAGAGAAACACAACTCGCATCACAAAGATGACACTGTGACATCAGCTGGTTGGTTACAAATGCAGTAGGAACAACAACAACAACCAAATCCAATGGCACCAGCAACTACATATATGCCAACCACCATCACCACCCACAATCCGAAATAGGTATAAAACGTACATATAATGTATAATGTGTGTGTTTGCGAATTTATCTAGAATGAGATTTAAAAGAAAATTTGCAAATAATTCCTAAAACGTTTCTTGTTTTCTATCATTGCCGTGGTGGTTTTCTTAGGCTATGGGGCCTCTCCAACAATTATCAATCAGTGTTATCACAATTACTGGCATTTGTTACATAAACAAATGATCGTTTTTTTATGAAAGCAACAAAGGGGAGGGGGGATAACACAATAATAAAAACATGTGTTTTATGAATAGAGTTGCCATCACTTTGTTTCGTTATAAAAAAGGATATAAATGGTGGAGGTAATTAAAAGCTGAAAACTATGAAAACATTAAATGTTGATGCTTTTTCGGTGGTCACACAAGGGATTTTTACTAAAGGAAAACTGAATTTATTAGAGAAAAATTACGGATGCAAATGTGAAAAATACATTATTCCCTGTTGATTTTTCATAAAATGTTATTTGAGTAAGAAAATTTAGCTTTTTAAGTCCTTTTTTGATAATTTGTAATAATCTGTAAAAATTGATCCGGGGTATTGATGGTTGAATTAAAAGTCCGGTAAATAAGAAGACATTCCACCAGTACTCAGCACCATCGCACTCAGCATGCGCCACCCAAGAATGGTTACAAAATGAGGTTCCTCGCTTAATTTCCAGTGCACAATCACCAACAAAATCTCCGGATAAGAATAGTCCAACTATTGTGTCTGGAGTATTTTGAAAAGCAAAGTTGGCACCAAAAAATGCCAAAGTGTCGATCACCTCAAGCAAGCACTTCGCCGGGAATGGGCCAAAATACCGCAGAGCAACATTCGGGCAGCGTGTGACGGTTTCATTGGCCATTTGAAGGACATAATTCGAGCTAAAAGTGACCAATTCGAACAAATCTAAACTTATTCTAAAATTTGATTCTATTTCCGACATTTTTTGTTTTCTTTCAATAAAATTAAAAAAAAAATAAATATTATGGCGTTTGACTTTGTTGCAGTTTTTATCTCACCCTGTAGGTATTGGAAATTGTGTCCCTTTGTTGGTGAGGTACCAAGAGGGGTTGACAGATCTTGCGTTAGCAAAAATATTTGGATGTGTGAAATTTGAAAAGAAAGTTATATGCTTATTTCGCTTTCTTTGAGCGTTTTGTTTTCCAAAAATCTTGAACCTTATCTGGGGTTCCCAGAAGGAATAGTCCGATCCCTACAATCTTTATAACAGATCTTAAGTTGATGGAAATATTGAGATGTATCAAGTCTGAATGGAATCGGATGTTAATTTCGGGTTTTATGAGCTTCATGGATATTCAAAGTTTTGATCCTTTGTAGGGGAGATACCAAAAGGAGTGGACCGATATATCCCATCTTCACGCCAGACTTTGGGTTAATAAAAATATTGCGATGTGTGTAAATTAAAAACAATCGGACAAAGACATCACATTTTATAAGAGTTATAATTATTCAAAATTCGGACCCTTTGTGGGTGAGGTACTTGATGGAGTGAACCGATATTGTCCGTTTTAGCACCTAACCTAGCACTGATGAAAATATTAGGATTCGGATTATCCTTTCACTTTCTATGCAGTAAATTATTTTCTTTGAAAATGTTGACATTTTGTGGGGGAGGTACCAGAAGGAGTGGTCCGATATTGCCCATCTCCGAACTCGATCTAAGATTAAAAATAATCTTACGATGTACCATGTTTGGATCAAATCGGATACTCCCTTCGAGAGTTATCGTGCGCCAGCCAGACAGACAGACATCGCTTGATCGACTCCAAATTTCTTAAATTATTATTATCATCGCCCCACATAGGGCGATGTTTCAAAGCTACGAAATTTCTCGATTTCTACGACTGACCGATTTCTTTCAGTGTAATGTAAATGTAAACAAACCAATCTGGCGGCTAATGGAGCAAATTCTGATAAGAAATTTTAAACAACAATCTTATAAGAGCAAACAACAGAACTTCCAACGAGTCATAAACAAAAAAAAATCAGCTGTTAGATTTCTATTAAGAAAATTCACAACATTAGATTTCCTAATTGTTGTTGCTGGTTTTTCTCAAGTGTAGAATTGCGAAAAGTCAAACATTAACCATTGCTGCTCCACACAGCAGTATAATGCCCTTTCCATGTTATTTATGTTTATTTACCCCTCAGCTACTCTGGAGACGTTGGTTTGTTTTGTACATTTTAGTTGGCTGCCCTATCAAAACAGATTTGTTTACGTTTTGCCTTTAATTTTTATCTCGAAATATTGCTGTTCATAAAATTATCTTATTCTCGTTGATTCGTTCGTTCGTTCATTTATTAGAATCAATGAAAACCGCATCAGATCTCTTTCTGTCATAAATTATTCATTCAACGGAAATTTTGCAATTCTCTGCTGGCTGTGGCAAAGCAAACAATGTTGTTGCTGCTGTTGTTATTGAAGAAAAAATCTGAATTTTAAATTGAAAATAATTACACTGGATTTGGTTTTGGGTTGTGGCTGGCTGTTGGTTTTATCTCTCATTGTCTATACTGGGAGCTGCTGATGCTGCTGCTGCTGCTGCATATTAACGGCAATAATCATCATCCACAACATTCCGACACACAACATTACAATGCAAAAGATTACAACAAATATTTGTTTGTTTTACTTCTTGAGAACAACTAATTTGTTGTCTTGCACACTTTTGTGTAATTATAAAATACAAAAATTCCAACAAAAGAAGAGATACAAGCCAAGAATGTAATTTAGCTTGTTTGTGTTGTATGGCGGCGACTGTCGTTGAAATGTCATTGGCAAAAAAAAAAAACAAAATCATTTACATAAAACAAACAGGCTGGCAACACTACAGCACTGGCACGGATGCTTAGTTGATGGTTTTGTTGCGTTTCTGGCTCGTTTTTAGATGGATGGATAATGAACTTTAAGTGGACACAAAGGAATGACAATAAAAACACCAACACTTATTTTCAATTTTGTTTTTATTTCTTTTGTAATTATCCAATTCAATTGCACTTATTTCACTTTATGTTCTTTGCGCTATATTTTCCGACGATTTTTTTTACAACAAAAATAACGAACATTTGATATCTCAAGTTGAAGGGGGAAAAACTTTCATTCGTTATTGGACTGTTTTGCTTGCTTTTTTATTTTCGTGATTCTTTTTTATTTCGCCTCCTATGTTTTATTTCTTTCTTATCCCAACCATCATATTTCAATTGTTGCTTTTTTATTTTTGCATACACTCACTCACACACACACACACTTACAAGACAAAACAAAAAGAAGGCAAGAAAAATACCAATCCCCAATCCAACAACCTTTTAAAGATCTACGTCCACCATTCGAAGAACGAAAAACGCCGTGGCCACGTAGCCAATTTTTACCCGCACTTGTTAATTTCGTTGACTAAGTTAATAATTTGTTAATGTTTTTCACTAATTATGAGTTTTTATTCATATTATTTTAGAGGGTTTTCGATATTCACGCGAAAAAGAATATGACCGACCAAACTCGTCTGCTTCGTTGTTTGTAGGGATGCGTAGGCCGACACTGAACTAATCGATTAATCGACATTTGACTTTGAATATCGATAGCGGACATGTTGCCGGTCTTCGACGATCGATCATGTGTAGTTAATTTTTAACATCAGAAACGTTGTAGACTTTTTGGTTATTTTAAAAAAAAATTATGAAAGAAAAAAGAAGTGTGGGGATGAAAAAAAAAACGTTTAGACATTATAAGGATTGGTCTGTTCTAGAGCTGTAAGAATGTACATTTTTTACTACGATAACCGATTTTTCCTTTATGATATCGAAAAATATTGCAAAAATATTAGATTCTTGCATGTTCTGGAACAGACCAAGGATGAATCAAAACATACATGATTAAACCACAGGCTTTATTAGATCCAGTGGGTAAGAACCTAATTAACTCGGCATGAAATCTATATATCTATTTGATTAATAAACGACTATTATTCTTGATAAATGGTCTGTTCCAGAACTGCAAGAATTTAAAAGTTTTTAATATGATAACCGATTTCCTCCTTATGATATCGAAGAAAATTGCAAAACTAGTAGATTCTTGCAGGTTCTGGTACAGAGCTAAACACTGTCTACACTGCTCAAAATCCGTAGCCTTTGTCTTTTGAAATTCTATTCGAAATTCGACATTTCATAAAGAAATGAAAGGGAAGATGTCTCGTGGGAAGGATTTTAGAAAGTTATTAAATCAATACTATAAAAAGCGATTTTCGCTTTATAATATCGGAGAAATGGCAAAATAGCAAATTCCTACAAGAATTTTGGAGCAGAGCATCTGGTAGCAGATGTATTATTGCCCCTGAACTTTATGATAGAAATGCATTTTTAATCCAAAAACGTCATTTTTTCTTGTCTAGACGTAGTAGGGTCCCAATTGGTTAACTTCTCTATATTTGGAACTTCATATTTCAAATAATCGGGGGAATTAATAAGACCGCTTTTCAAACATGTTTGTACGCGATAAATGATCGGCCACCTCTGTACAGTATTTGATTGGAAGGAATATACTTTATCTATGAAAGAATGATGTTGACCTCATGGTTCTCGGAATTTTTTGAAAATCCCTGTTGACATTTGAATTGAATGTTTTATTGAACTAACTTACAGACTACACAAACTTAATATTACAAAGAAACGCCTAAGCGGTTGGTTTCTTAGGTAACGAACCAAATGCAGAGATAACAGTTCCTTTAGTACCGGTTACAGTTGTGGTCAAGGGCGGCACAGTGGGTTTGTTGACAGTTGCAGGTTGATCCCATTTAGATTTTCTGCAAGAAAAAACAATAATTTTAAAAACTATGATTATGTTATGAACAAAAAATTGCCTACCTCTTTTTGGCTTCCTCCTCAACTTTACGAGCCAAGGCCGAAACCTGTTCAATTTTTCCCGAGTCTTTCTTTTCCTTCTGGCGTTTCAACATTTCATTCTTTTGTACTACGGCCAACTCTTCATAGTAACTTTCTGGGCCCCATTGCAATGGATCGTATATCTCGGGCGGGTAATTTGTACCAAATTCGTTGATGTCACAAAACTGAATGAGTTTCTCATAAATACTGGGATTACGGAATTCCTTACGTTGCTGGATGATGCGATTCATATCCATGTTGTTGCTTTCCATTTTTTCATAGAGTTGATTGATTTTCTCAGTCAGCTCGGGCAAAGGTTTGCCTTTCGGCTCGGGTGGCAATGTAAAGCCGTAATGAGAAAAGCGGGCATATTTATCTTTAACCTTGCCCGGCTTCTCGGTAGAATCGTCATCTATTTCTATGGGTGTACCACCGTTGCGTTGTGGTGTCTGTCCATCTTCTATTTTAATGACATTTTCATCTTCTGAATCTTCACTGGACAAAGTCTCAGGGCTATCATCCTCGTCGTTGTCATTCCTTTCATCATCAGAGATAATCGTGTCATCTTGATAGCTTACCAAACGTTTAACATCTCGGGATTTCTTCTTTTTCTTTTTGGGCGGTGAAGCTGCCTTGCGTTTCTCCGGAGTTTGTTGTGGAGTGTGTCTTGGAGGTGGTATAATAACCTGGAAATATTAAGGGGTTTTCATGAAATGACAACAAACGTTTACAATGAGTTTGGGGTACTTACAATTGATGTTTGGGAATTTTGCGAGTCTGGTGATTGCTCCTGATCTTCATTTTCCGAATCAGTATATTGAGCCGTCAAGCTTGCCAAAGCGGAGTTGCTCATTTTAAGCGAGTTTAATTTAAGTTATTTAAAAATTAATTTCTAATTTAATTTAATAGTAAACTCGTTGTTTCTATACAATTTTGACAGTTTTGTCTTTCTAAACCGAATTGGTTCAAAGAAGCTATTCTTTGAAAGGAACAGCATGCGCTTTTCTAGTTCCTTCAGTTCACCTAGTTCTTTGGTTTCATATCATTCTCATCTTTCTTTGCTTGCTACCCTCATCATAGTCCTTTAAAGTCCAGTACTTGCTTTAATCTACTACTATTTCATTCTTGAAACTCTCTTTTGTTTCCTGGTACAAGATCCTACAAAAAATCCAAAAAATCGTAAAACTGCAAAGCAAATTGAGGGGAAGACAAACAAAAATAACTTTCCTTTTTTTATAAATATAGTCCAATTTGATAGTTAAAAGTAGTAGCTATGTTTCCTACTTACAAACTTGTGTTATTTTCACTATTATTCCCCAACTGTAGTTAAATACCACTTTTTCTTCGATCCCTCTTCGAAAAGTTCAATTTTTTGTTTTAAAATACCTATTCTATTGAAATAACATTTTCACAGAGTTAAGCTTTTGTATATGTGTATACTCACTTTCAGCTGTCTTTGTTTACAGCCAAATTCGTTGACGTAGAAGACACAAGTTCACATTGTTCAGTTCGGTGAACAGTTATTTTGAACGGTACTTGTCCAACGAAGCATCTCTTTATTTCCTGGATTATTTGGAGTAATTAAAGGATAATGACGCCGGTTACTGCATCCGGAGTTGAAGTAGAAGAAGATCGGATCCAGAAAAGGGTCAATAAAATTCTGGAAACCCGTTTGGATGCCGAGAAAGTTTGTAATATGTTCATCAACTTTTGACATTTTATTAAAAACTAATTTTCCACTTGCAGGATACCTTGGAGGCTTTGCAAGATTTGTCAAGCTTCTTCACGGAAAACACCCTACAAAATAGACGAAATTTACGTTCCCGCATCGAAAAACGTTCTGTTTTTATTAATGATGAATTTCTGAAGGCTTTTCGTGAAGTCAAGTCCAGCCTCGATTTGGTAATTACCGATTTGGATACGTTGGCAGATTCCGTGCAAGCTATGAAAAATGATTTGGAATCATCGAAAGCCTTAACACATGACCTAATTAAGCAAACTAATTCGCTGCAAGAAGAACGTGACCGCTTGCAGGTACATAAGCAAATTGCAGAGGCATTCCTGGGACGTTTCCAGCTGAGTGTGCCGGAACATCAAATGTTGTATGGTACTTCAAAGGATACCCCTATTGTTCCGGAATTTTTCGATGTTTTGGATCGGGTGCAGGCTATACATTCAGAATGTAGGGTACTAATGCAATGTGGTTATCAAACTGCGGCATCAGATATTATGGAAGAGATGACTTTGCATCAAGAGGGAGCCTTGGAAAGACTCTACAGATGGACGCAGAATCATTGCAGAAATTTGGAAAACAATGAAATTGGCCAGTTGGTTTGTCGGGCTATGGGTAGGTTACAGGATAGGCCTGTGTTGTTCAAGTAAGTAATATCAATCCATAACAATAGAATGACATTAATAAAATATGTCCTGGTTTTAGATATGTGATAGACGAGTATGCCATCGCTCGCAGAGCAGTCCTTGTACGCCAGTTTATTGAAGCCCTGACAGAAGGTGGCCCAGGAGGCAATCCAAAACCCATTGAAATGCATGCCCATGACCCCAAACGTTACATTGGTGACATGTTTGCCTGGCTGCATCAATCCATTCCCACAGAAAAAGACAATTTGAACCTACTCCTAAAGGAATGCGATAAAAACGATATATCCGAGCAAAAACGCAATGCTTTGGCATACATTGTGGAGGGTGTTTGCCACCCATTGAAAGTTCGTGTTGATACCATTTTGACTTCGGAAAAATATCCAATTGTGCTTTTTGCAATTTCCAATCTCTTGCGCTTCTATCAACAAATTATGAGACAAGTGGTACCGGGAGGATCATTGGAACAATGTTTAATTGATTTACAAAAGTCAAGTGAAGAGATCTATTTGAATGCCCTGGCTGCTCAGGTGAAACACATTTTACAAAAACCTGCTGGATCTGCAGCAGAGCCACCACAAAGAGACTTGGTGCCACCGGCCAGTTTGGGACGTTTATTAAATCTCCTAAAAGAGATACTTTCGGTGGCCACAATGGTGGATGGTCGTCAATCGGATATTACAAAAATTGTGTCCTGTATTATTGACCCTCTGCTGCAATCTGTACAGGAGTCGGCTTCACATTTGCCCACAATTGATATGTCCGTATATTTGTTGAATTGCATTTATCACATGCAAAATTCTTTGGCTGTCTATGAGTATATGGATGAAAGAGTCGAAAGACTACAGGCTCAGTCGGAGGCCCAAATCGACACTTTGACCTCTGAACAAGCTTCCTCATTGGTGGCAAATCTTCAGCTAGGTCCAATTTACACAATATTGCAAACAAATCAGTCAAAAATTGAATCAAATCTTTTGAAAATATTTATGAACAAAATGGATGCATTTTTACAAATGCCCGATGTATTGTTGCTGCCCCAAATCCAATTGATTATGTCAAGTTCTCACCGTAATGCTGTGCAGAAACGTTCCTTTAATGTTATCGTTGCCATTTACAAGCAAATCTATGAACGTGTACATGATCCGGCCAATGGTTTTGAACATCCCGAGGCTATATTTTCAAAGACACCCGAACAGGTCTCCAAAATATTGGCTCTGTAAAGAAGGTATTTATGTAGTTTTGTTGTAGTTTAGTTGAGTGGTAATTGATTGCCTATTTCCAATATTTCCAAATGGATAAAAATATATTTTAATATCTAATTCATAGCGGGATTTATCTTCCTTAAGAAAGAATGAATGAAAAAATTAACATATTTGCATTTAAAGTTACTTGGATGCACCATGACAAAATTAATGTAAAAATAAAATTCTAGGGCTCGACGAATCACAAGACACATTTTTTCCTCTAAACGCTATTAAATGATACAAATATTCTCTACTTGTAAATCTAAACTAATTAAATAGTTATTTTTTAAATCGTATCTCGTAGTGTACCTTTGGACAACGTTGCACAATCCTGTGGATAATATGGATTAGGGGCCAATATTCATTTACATATAACTCGTGGTATATGTAAATGAATATTGGTGATGTTCATATATCTGCTGATATCGTGGAAGAGTCCAGACTTTTTTAAGCATAACTTTTATATTTGGCTCCATATCAGTAGTCCCGAATAAGTAATTTAAAGGCTTTGAAAATGTAGTTGACATACGGCGGAAAAAAGCTCCGTCAACAAATTTCCAGTTTTTATTGGTGTCCTCTTTTTCTCGAACTATAAAATGTTTCAGTAACAGTTTTCACCCTGAACAAAAGTCGTTCATTGGGAAACATGTCAAAGTCAGATATCTTAGCACCTTTACACCAGCTGCTTTAACTAGACCCCTCAAAGTTAGAAATCCTAAGACCTTTACACCAAGTACTTTAACTAGACCCGTCAGATCCCTGTGACAAACAATGAGTCTCCGGAGTGGTCCGCCAATGCAAATACTATGTAATGAAATCAAATTTTGTCTTGCCAGAACGTCTTTAAATTATTTACAGTTTTTTTAGAGGCCCCTTACAAAGTTGTCCTCTTTTTTCGGCCTATAAAATGTTCCAGTTACAATTTAAAGAGTTTCATCCGGAAACTATTCAAAATTAGATATTTACACCAGGTTATTTAACTAGACCTTTCAATGCCAGATATATTGGAACCTTTACACCGAGTAAATTGTTAGACCCATGTGGAAAACTATGCGGTTCTGGCGTGGTCCGCTAACGTAAGTGCTCCGAAATGGAATCGCATTCAGTCCTGCCAGACCATCGGCCTGAGAACCGCAAAGGGGTGCCTCCTTATGATACCCGTTGACTATCTACACGTGGAGGCGGAGGTCTTACCGATGCGGTAGCATAATAAAACGCTGTCCAACCATCCCACCATCTTGTGGATAGGCAACTTCTGCCCGGGCAAGCAAGGAAAGACCCTCATAATTTATAGATAAAAGTACAACGATACAAGAAAAAGCCTCTAGATCAACAGGCCTAGCCCGAACATGAACATGTATTTGCTGGTACTTGGCACAGCGCTTGGGGAGCAGATAAGGAAACCGTGTTGACCGTTTACAACGCGTTAGGCCGGTCTGTGGTAAACTATGCGGCTATAGTGTTGTCCGCCAACGTAAGTGCTACACAATGGAATCGCATTCAGTCGCCTTAAGAACCGAAATAGGGTGCCACCTTATGACCCGTTGACCATCTACATGAGGAGGCAAAGGTCTTACCGGTGTGGTAGCACAATAAAGTGTTGTCAATGCAATTTTTAATTGGGTGTTATAAACAGAACCATCATAATCACCATGTGATGTATAGGCAACCTCTACCCAGGCAAATGAGGAAAGGGCTCCATGACCTACGGATACAAGTACAGCGATACAAGAGAAAGCCTCTAGATCAGCAGGCCTAGGATTGAATTGTATTCACTTTGACGTAGTCACAGCACTTATAGCAGAACACCGAGTGAATAGCACACTTGAAGCTCATCCCCTTCCACTGCAGCTGAGGAACCAGAGCTGCAGCGACAAACCAGAGTAGTTTTGGTAAGGGAAGGCCTTCATGATCCACATAGAGAGAGAGAGAGACATAGAGAGAAGTACAGAGTTAGAAGAGAAAGCCTCTAGATCAACATGCCTATCTAACAGGACTGAATTGTATACCCTCTGACGCGGTCACAGCAATTATAGCAGAATACAGAGTGAATATCAGATTATTCCCTTTCCATTGCACATGAAGAACGAGAGCTGCAGCGACAAACCAGAGTAGTTTTGATACAACTAAAATATGGATGGTGCAGCCGCAGAACACCTGCCCAGCATGTGGTAGAGTCCCACATCACCCTCTGCTCCTTTCAACTGCCCAGTCAAAACTACTCACCTAACGCCCGTATCGCCATGGATCCAATTAATACAGGTTGCTTCCATTAGAAGCAGAGTCAGAGTAGAGAAGATATCAGAATGCACCCAACGGTACTAAAATAACTAGACCAGACCCCTTAAAGACTGATGGAATTGGCTTAGGAATTAATAATGCACTCTGAATGCTTTTCCCCCACCCCTCAACTATCTGCATAGGAATATAGATCACAAATCAAAACTTTGCATTACATTTATCTATTGTTGTAATTCTATATTTTTTTCTAAATACAATTCAAAATCACACACAGCATCTATCCTCCACAAAAGAAAACCAACAAATACGTTTGCTTTGCGGCAACAACTCATTGACAAAAAAGAAAAACTAAAGAAGAAATCACATGCATTGAAACGACTTTCATGTGTGTGGATAGGGAGGAAGATCGGCTGCCTGTTGCTACTTAGGCCCAGTGTAGTTGTTGACTTTTTGTCAGATATACGAAATACAACAAAATTGTGTTTGGGAGCGGAAAACAAACGAAAAGTGTCGTATTTGGATATTAATTTTATTTTTTTGTTTTAGTAGAGAATTTGTTTTTTTTTTTTTTTCTGTTGATAAGAATGAAGACGGTAAACAATGCGGCTGCTAGTACTTGTTGCTGATGGCTTAGCAGTCAGTAGTAGTCTTCCAGTAATGCCACTGGTGTAGTTTAGTTATAGCAGGCATGATTAAAAACAGAGTTTGTTTTCGAAATTCAAAGAAATAGTGTGGACGTAAATTATACCCCAATCTTGTGAATGAATAATAAGATTGACACAAAAAAAAAAAAACAAAACAAAACAGCAAAGTAACATAATACAATAAATGACGCCACAAAAATAAAATAATAATGGCATTGCAAATCAAATAAAAAAATACCCAACGAAGAAAAAAAGAAAACACGCCTTGCTTGTGCACGGTATATCTTCAGATGTTCGTTCATTCATCCAAAAAAATACTTGCAAATTTATCAATTGAAATACAATTAGAAGGCGATTGTTTGATTTAGTGCTCAACACAAAGGTGTTCCTAAAGAAAGCGAAAAATAAACAACATTAAAAACGGAAAAATCCAAAAATAGTAACAGAACACCACTCAATTATTACTTACAAGTGGTGAAAATAGCAACCATTTATCAAAAGAGGCGGAGGATTTAAATTCATAAAGCCCCCTCCGAAAAGTAAACAAACAATTTGTTTGAATTTCTTTCAACAAAATTAATTGATATATGTTGGGGTAAGTGTTTACATTTATAAATTCGCTGTTTCTCAACGTCAGAAAAAAGTAGACGGCTTAATTTGAAATATTTATAAAAATGCAAACAAACGTGACATCCACCGTCCCGGCTAAACATTGCCGAATTGTTTGTACCCTTCGATGACGTTAAAAAAAATAAAAATGATATGTAAATGTGTTGGGTTGTGGGGTGAACTTTGTGATACTATTGCATATATTTGAACTTTTGATCTTTAAAGAAAAAAAATAAAAAATAAAAATAAAAAAACAAGTAAAAAAGCTGTAATTTCGGCCGGGCCGGACTTTGAATACTCTCCATCATTTGGTACAAATTTGGCAATTTTCAAAAAAATAAAATCTTAAAAATACCGAAAGTAGTCGTATATTACGACGAACCGGACATGCATAGGCAGTTTTTTTTCATAAGCTATTACAATATTCAAATGCGAAACTTCAAAAAAAAAAAATCGTGAATAATGTAGCTAAAATCATCAAAATACCGAATATCGGGGAGTACCGTTATGAGGGCTATACCAAAACGTGGACCTGTACAGACAATTTTCTGTCATAGACTGTAGTATCCATTACGAACTTCAAATACCAAATTTGAAACAATTCCGGTAAATAATGTCGCTAAAATCATCAAAATACCGAATATCGGGAGGTGCCGTTATACGGGGGCTATACGAAGACGGGGACCTGCACAGACAATTTTCAGTCTACGATTGTAGTATCCATTACGAACTTCAAATACTAAATTTAAAACAATTCCGGTGAAAAGTATCGCTTAAATCACCAAATTACCGAATAATGGGGGGTACCATTATATGGGGGCTATATGAAGACGTGTAACTGTACAGACAATTTTCTGTCTTAGGCTGTAGTATCCATTACGAACTTCAAATACCCAATTTGAAACAATTCCGGCGAGTAATGTCGCTAAAATCATCAAAATAGAGTATATGTGGAGATGCAATTATTTGGGGGCTATATGAAGACGTGGACCTGCAAAGACAATTTTCTGTCTTAGGCTGTAGTATCCATTGCGAACTTCAAATACCAAATTTGAAACAATTCCGGTGAATAATGTCGCTAAAATCATCAAAATACCAAATATCGGAAGGTGCCGTTATAAGGGGGCTATACGAAGATGTGGACCTGCACATACAATTTTCTGTCATAGGCTGTAGTATCCATTACGAACTTCAAATACCTACTTTAAAACAATTCCGATGAATAATGTGCTTAAATCACTAAAATACCGAAAATGGGGAGGTACCGTAATATGGGGGCTATACCAAAACGTGGACCTACATGGACCATTTTCAATACCAAAAGTCCTGCAGACATAATATACATTTCAGTAAAATATTATCAACCTACTTTCGGAAGCTAGAGTGATTTCCTCAGACGGATAGACATAGAATTTTATGCTGATCAAGAATATAAACACTTTGTGGGGTCTAAAATGTATATTTCGAAGTGTTGCAAACGGAATGACAAACTTAATTTATCCCCCATACTATGGTGGAGGGTATAAAAACAAGTAAAAAGGTATCATTCGGTTTTGCCGACAGATATACAGGGTGAGATGCAAAACTGCCACCAACTTCAGACTGCAGTCATTTCAAAGCCACTCCTCCGACAGCTGTTAAAATAAATTATTCTAGTAACATCTCATTATTTTGTTTACAAGCGTACGAAAGCATTTTGGTGAGAATTTTCCAGAAAAAAAATAGTTATTCGTGACGGAATCCGAGCGTGATAGTGTGATTTCTTTATATTTGGCTGAAAAACCACAAGTGGCTATCGTTAGAGCACTTCAGCATTTAAATGTAAATAAATCTTTTGTGTCCCGTACCATCACTCCTTACAGTGATACTGGTGGCGTAGCTCGACTTCAAGGAAGCGGACAGCAACATCAGCAGAAATGGTTCGAAAAGTACAGAAGCGACTTGATCGAAGCCCGCGTCGCAGTGGCCGAAAGTGGCTCGTGAGCTAAACATATCGCAATATTTAATTCGGCAAATATTTAAATGAGCTCGGGCTCTGGTTAAAGCCATTGAAATTCCAAAAAGTGCAAGTCCTTACACCGCAACAGAAAGAAAATAGACTCAAAAGAGCTAAAGAGTTGCTTCGCTTGGCCGAAAGTGGTGAATTGCCGAATTTGGTTTTCTCCGCTCCGATGAGAAAACATTCGTTGTCCAGCAGTTTGTAAACCAACAAAATGATCGTGTTTACTTGCCAAAGAGGTCAGCTAAAAATGTGCACCTTCGGTTGGTCACCAGAACTCAAGCGCCGGCCATGGTGATGGTGTGAGCCGCCATAACAGCCGATGGTCGCTCTCCGCCTGTATTAATCGACCGTGGCATCAGAATAAATGCCGAATATTTTATCGCGATAATATTCTGGAGAGTGTATTAAAGCCTTGGGTACGCAAACATTTTGGCCGCAGACCTTGGACATTCCAAAAGGACTCAGCATTATCGCACTCAGCACGCGCCACCCAAGAATGGTGACAAAATGAGGTTCCTCGCTTCATTTCTAGCGCACAATGGCCATCAAAATCTCCGGATACCTATCCGTTGGACTATTGTATCTGGAGTATTTTGGAAAACAAGGTTGGCACTAAAAAAAAAAAGTGTCGATCACCTCAAGCAAGTGCTTCGCCGGGAATGGGCCAAAATACGGCAGAGCAACGTTCCGGCAGCGTGTGATGATTTCTTTGGCCATTTGAAGGCCATAATTCGTACCAATGGTTACCAATTCGAACAAATCTAAACTTATTCTAAAATTTGATTTCCGAAATTGTTTGCTTTAATTCAATAAATTAAAAAAAAATGTAAAAATTATGGCGTTTGACTTTGTTGCAGTTTTTTTATCTCACCCTTTACAGTGGGTTTCGCCAATATTTAAAGTTTGATTTTTGTCCATGACGGATTGTTTAACGACCGATCTTTATCGGTTTAATGTTGTTTTCGGATTTTTGCATTACAATTTCTTTTTTTAAACCCCAAAACTTTGGGAACGAAAAACATTTCAATTTGTATGTGTATGAATATATTGTAGTTTACCGCTAATAATAATATGCACAATATACAGTATGTATTACTAAACATAGTATGGATATATGTATTATCGTTTCACAGTTGTTGTTGTGACATTTTTTATGGTTTTTTGGGAACTCCACAAAGTTTTGATTTATTTCTTGCTCTCACAAAAAAGTAGAGGAAAATCAAGAAGAATGCTTTGTTATTTGTTGGCTTTTTTGTTTTTGTGAAATGATTAAAAAAAAAAAAAAATACTTATCTTTGAGCTTTACTTATAAAATACAAGAAACTACGACTGCTTAGCACACAGCCCACCTAACTCATTCTTGGCGATTTCTGTGCGTTCTTCTGCTCTATACTAAGACAGTGTTATTGTTGCTTTTTGAAACAGATCCAATGTTAAAGCACTAAGAAAGGCCGGTAACGACTTATTGCCCACCAGCTGTGTTTCAATCAGTGACTTGAGTGTGGCCGAGTATGGTGTCTCCAGCATATCCAACATATTGGATTCATTCAAACGGAAATTTAGATAATGATCTGGATCTTCGGCATACATGCTGGAAATTCTGCAAACGGCAACAAAGAAAGAGATTATTTATATTTCTGCGAAATGGGAAGGAGTTGTAACAGCATGATACTGGGATGGTACTTACTTGTAATTTGTATTGGAGCCCACCCTATCGATGCGATAGCCAAATAACATGTAAACAACTTCACGAAACTCCATGCTGGCAGATTTGTAGCATTCTTTCATTTTCTTCATCTTGGAATTCATTGACTCCAGCTCGCCACGCAGCTGATTTATTTCCTTGAAATTCATAGTAATGTTGGTGGTTTCATTGAGACGTGCCTGCGTGACTTCATTGTCTTCTTCCAGTTTTTTGTTTTTACGTTTCAAACGTTCAATCTGAAAACAACTAAAATATTAAATTTTCTTTTTAATTTAACTAATTCCCCTTACCTCTGCTTGCAACTTTTCAATCAAATTATCGGCATTTTCATATGCCTCATTTGCTGGATTCAACCGCATGTGTACCACCTTGTATTTCTCCATGTTAAAGTCACCTTTAAGACAACGATGTTCCAATTCCAACTCCAATTCCTCTTTACGTCTACGCAAACGTTCATTTTCCATGCGCAAGGTATCCAGCTCCTTCTTGAAATGTTCATAGCCCGTTGCATTGGCATCAACACTCATATTAACACTGCTTTGATCACCGGTTGGATCCGAATTTGGCAGTGACTTGGCCGTATTCAATTCCTTTTCCAAACTGGCACACATATCCTTATAGCCCACCAACGTTTTTTCCAACATTTCAATACGTGTTTTCAGTTGATTCTCGGTGGAAGATAGATCGGGTGCAATGGGATTAGAGATGGTGAGATCTTTTTCAAAGTTCTCCAATAGCTGTTTGTAACAATCACGCTCCTTGGAAACCAACAGCAATTTCTTTTGCACACGATCCTTAAAGGCCTTGTGGCGCTTGAGGGCCACATTAAGTTCTTCCATATTTTTCGAATAGATTTCACATTTTTGCTTGTAATCTAATAACTCCGATTCCATGGTTTTGGATTCAGAGGCCTTGGTATTCTTTTCGCTGGCCATAAGGACATCATGTTGTAGGAGTTCCTCAATACGGGCCCTTAAAGCCAATGGGCTAACTAACATATTTGGCGAACAATGATCTTGGGCCACTTTAACCCATTCCTTAACTTCTTCTTGAGCATGTTTCAGTTGTACTTGCAAGGCCACAACTTCGGAGCGGGCACCTTCTTCGCGTTCGAGGCGAGAACGTAAATCGTATACCTGTTCTTCCAAAAGCAATTTATTGCCCAACAATTCCTGCAAGTGTTTGTTGTTGGAGCGTAAACGTTCCAGCTCCTTATCCATGTTTGGGATGCTAAGCAAACGATCTTGGGAATTCTAAAAAATAAATTAGGAGATAGATTAGGATTTTGTGCTAAAAAGTAATATTCTAGAATGGAATGTTAAGAACTTGCTAACAGTTACTTTGGAACATGAAACTGTGATACATCATCCCAGTTGTCTAAAGAGTTTGCTTCCCATTTTTCCCACATTTTCCGAAATTCATTGGAATATCGATAATTTATGAAGGAAATGGCCGACATGTTGCAATTGAGTTTTTTTTAATAGAATCCGATTATGAGTTTAGTTGTGTGTTTCTAACTACCGGATTTTTATCCTAAATTCTTAACCACGCCTCTGTTGTCCCAGGGGATATCTTACCTTGGTAATCTCTTTCCAATCATTGTAGGAAGCAATTTCAAATTCCAATTCCTTGATCCGCTGATTGGCATTTTCCAATTCCTGATTTACTTTTTCGTTATCCAATTTAAGATCATCATAACAACAAGCCTTGGATTTCAAGTCATCCATTTGGCTTCTAAGGGACTCCAATTCATCGCAGCTTAATTCCAGCTCCTAAAAGAATAAATGGATTAATGACCACTCGGAGTCTACTACTATCCTTGTTTACCAGCTCAATCTTTTCGGCATGCCGTTTATATTCACCCAATTCATTGGCCATGCTATTCTGGACCAAACGGGCATTTTCTTCCACCTCATGTTTGGCCCTTTGTAGCTTGATAATCACTTCCTCGTAACCATGTTTCTGTTGCTGCAAATCACTCTGGGCCTTGATCAAATCTTGTTTGGCGGCATGTTCCCTTTTTCTCAACAACTGCATATGCTTCTCCAAATCCTGAATTTTGTTAGAGGAAAACTCACATTGTTTCTTTAGTTCCGAGACACGGCTTTCATATAAAGTCTCAGATTCCTGGCGCAATTTGTGCAAACGTTCCACTTCTTGTTTAAGTTTGGATATCTATAAAGCAGTATTACATTAATATACATATTTTCATATCTCTGCAAAACCGAAGACTTACTCTTGTCCGGGCCTCTATCAAATCTGCCTTCATCCGCCGTGTTTCCCACGGACTGGGTGGCGGAGCAGCGCTGCTATTCAAGGACACATTGCTGGTGTTAAGACTAATGTTCAAGCCATTGTCTTCAAAACTTTGTGACAAACGTCTCTTTTTGGGAACTAAGAGGGAAAACAATCAATTATACACACACAAACAAGACGGACGATAAACCGCAACTTACTTGTCCCCGAGTCATTGAAAGAATCACTCAAATGCTCGAATGTTAATTTCTTCGGTGCTGAATGACTAACGGAATCATTGAATTTTGCCAATATCTTATCTAAACTTGTTTTAATATCTTCCATTTTATAAAATAATTAAATTTACTTAGAAATTGTTGAATTTGCTTTATAAACATACACACGCCACCGAGAAAATTTTTTGTTTGCAAAACTATAGAGTTGCCAGATTTCAATGCCGGTATTGCGTAGAACGCAGAGTTGTATGTGAAATGCCAACATATGGGGCAATACACACAAACAAATTGCCATCCCAGTGAGAAGTAAAGCAAGTAAACAACTAATTAGGTTAATGTTTACATCAAAATTGTTTAAATTAAATATATCATTTTAAATATTTATTTTGCTCACTATTGCGAGTTCCTCGAACATTTAAGAATAATTAAAAGGTTGGTAGAGATAAAGGCTAAGGGAAATTCTGAAATACCCACCAAAGGTAGATCTTGTTTTTGAGGGCAAATTAATACTTCCCGCGATTTAGGGTTTCAAATTCTAAAAATACCCCTATTTCCAAATTGGTAATCGAAATGAAAGCTTTGAAATGCCACTTAAGATGGATTTTGTGAAAACTAATTACAACAGAAGAACATTTCTGGAAGGTGGAACCATATTTCGCGAAATATAGGATTCCAAAATTTAGTAAAAACCCTCAAATTTTTAAAGTGTTTCCAAAAAAGAAGTTGTTTTTAGATTTAACCTTTTTTTAAATAGCCGACCTTCAGTCGGCCCTTGAAATGTTCTCCTCTGGGATATGTTTAACACCGGTTTCGCGAGCAATATTTCATTTTAAGTGGAAGGCCTTCGGCCGAGGCTTAAGCTTAAGATATGCCCAAAATCGGCCTCGCGACCCCAAAGTTTTTAAAGTAGTAGTCCTTTGGCCGGGGCTGGGATTTAATATAGAATTAAATCTAAAACTAAATTCTTTTAGGAAATTCTTTCAAAAATTGAAAGTTGTTATAAACCTTTGTTGTGTTTATGGAAATATTGAGATGTGCCAAGTCTGAATGGAATCGGATGTTAATTTCGTGTTTAATGATTTTCATGAATATTCAAAATTTTGACCCTTTGTGGGGGAGGTACCAGAAGGAGTGGACCGATATTTCCCAACTTCACACCGGACCTTGGTTTAATAAAAATATTCTGATGTGTGTAATTTGTAGATAATCGGACAAATACTTCAAATTTTATAAAAGTTATAATTATTCAGAATTTTGACCCTTTGTGGGGAAGGAACTTGATGGAGTGTACCGATGTTGTCCATTTGCATATTAGTATTTGCAAAGTTAAAGGAAAATCGGATTATTCTTTCTCTTTCTGTGCAGTAAATTTTTTTCTTTGAAAATGTTGACATTTTGTGGGGGAGGTACCGGAAGAATAGACCAATATTGTCCATCTCTGAACTCGATCTATGTTTGATAATAATATTACGATGTATCAAGTTTGAATCAAATCGCATACTCTCTTATCGTTCGCACCAGCCAGACAGACGGACGGACATCGCTAGATCGACTCCAAATGTCCTAAAACGGATTTGGTCCAAAGAGACCTAGGCCGTATCAAATGATATATACCCTCTGTAGCCATATGGCTGATTTACACTTTCGGATTTTACAAGGATTTTTCAATTATTTGCTCTAAAGTGTGATGTCTTAGCTACTATCTTTTAGCAACTTTAATTTAAAACAGCTAACCCAAGTTTCGTAGTTTCTTTCATTTTCATAGTTAATACACAAATCGTCTTAAAAACGAACAACGCTTGAAAATCATTGTTTATTATAAAATTTCGTGCACTGTTAAGAAAGTTCCTCGCCCGCCTCTTCAATTTTATAACGATGCTCATTTTTGTCTTAATTGGTATGTACATGAAAAACGTGCATAATAGCGTGATTTTACCATAGTAATTTTTATAGGGGAATCCTCACCTTTTTATGTTTAATTTTATGTGTATAAATTTAAAAATATTTATTATTATATATTTTTAATCAGTGGATTATTTTTGCACCTTTGATTTGGTCCCTTTTCTCAGGAACATTTTAAATCATTGCTTTTTTTATTCAAAATTGCCTTTGTCTTGTTTACCTTACTATAACCAGAGAAAATTTATCAATTTTTTTTTATCGGTGGAATTACAGAATCGGCCTACTTGTGAAATTTGATTTTGTTTTATTTTAAGATAAACAGGTTAATTACAACTTAGTATACTTACAGCCTGTTCCACGATATCGCAAGAACACGTTCGCACAACTTTTACACGACAAACAGCTGATTTCCGTTCCACTAAAATCTATCAGAACGAAAATTTGCACGAAAATCAAAGCGAACGAAAACGTAAGCATTTCAGTGTAATTTTGCGTTCCACTATCTTTTTTCTTTCGTACGCATGCGAACACAAATGTCAAAATCAGTCACTTGTGTGTTTGCTATCGTATAATAACAATTAAGGAAAATTGTTTTAACATAAACATTGCTTGATTGAAAATGGAAACAAAAATGTAAGTAAAAATAATAAATGCAATTTAATATGTGAACAACAAATATATATATTTTTTATTTTCTCAATTCCAGCACGAAAAAATCATCAACTACACAGCTGCGGGCACTAGTTGAGTAAATGGAGGAGAATCCTGTGTTCGCCAGAGGAATGCCAATTTTTGGAAGCAGCAGAAGAAGTTTTAAATCGGGGCGGATTTGGGTAGTTCTGCAACCGGGCACCCACTTCTCTTCCATAATATCCAAAAGAACCCGAAAACTTCCTTCGACACACGAAAGTTGGCCACAAACCTAGAAAAAATCATTTTTTATTATTTCAAAAATGTAAAAATACAATCATACTTACTGGTTGTTAGGTACTTCAAATAAATTCGAAGCATCTCTTAAATTCCTCCGTGGCACATTTCGAACCTCCTCCATAAAAAATAGGGCTACGGAAATATTCTTTTTTTTATTTTCTAAGAGCACAAATAGTTTGAACACAATCACTAGAAATTTTATTTTGTTTGTTTATTTACAATTTGTTTGTTTACAACTGAAATGTCAGTTGAGACAGAGCCACTGCTGCTTTTTCGCGTTTAAATTAGACATTTGACGCTTTTTTTGCTTTATTTCGCGATTAATTTTTCCAAAAAAATATTTAGCAACACTGAATCACGTAAGGCTATGCGAAAGAAAGAACGAAAGTTAGTGGAACGCATTCTTATACGAAAGTGAGTGAGTAGCCTTCGTTCGCACAAATTTTCTTTCGAGATCGTGGAACAGGCTGTTAGTATAGATGTTCCATAAAAATATGGCAACACTATATTGGCAACGACGACAGTCTCATTTCAGTCTTCAGATCCCTAATATAACCATAAAACACATCAGCTGTTAAGGCATTTCTCATCGGCATTTGCCTCTTCCCACATTCCACAACTCTTTGTTTCTGATTAGTTGACCAGTGTTGTCGCTGTAATTTCACAATTTTGTTAATTAAAATTAATTTTCATTAGGAAAATATAAAAACACTTGATAAATAACTACAAACCCCCGACAAAGCTACACCCAACATGGCTGCCGAAACAAAGATTGACGATGAAATTGAGAAATTGCGACAAGAAATACAAGAACTACGGAGGAATTGTGCCGCTAAGGAGAAACGCTTATCGGAATTGGAGGCTCAACAACAAAAACAAAATGAACAGGCAAATGCACAACAACAGCAAACTTCTGCTTCTTCTGATCAAATGCTAAACAATGACGATATTGCCCGTTACAGTCGCCAATTGATTTTACCAAACTTTGGGGTAAAAGGCCAATTGAAATTGAAACAGACCGCCTTTCTCATTGTCGGCATGGGTGGTTTGGGTTGTCCCTCATCTCAATATCTCTTGGCTGCCGGCTGTGGTCGTTTGGGTCTGGTGGACTACGATGAAGTGGAGCGTAGCAATTTCCATCGCCAAACATTGCATACGGAAATGTCCATTGGCATGGCAAAAGTGGAATCGGCCAAACAAGCATTGCAACAAATCAATCCCCATTGTCAAATTGAATGCCACAGGTTGTTGTTGAACAGTGAAAATGCCTTGGAGATTTTACGACAATACGATGTTGTATTGGATTGTACGGATAATGTGGCGACCCGGTACTTGTTGAACGATGCCTGTGTCATGTTGAATAAGCCATTGATTTCTGGCAGTGCCCTACAAATGGATGGCCAGTTGACGGTGTATAATTATGGAGAAAATTGTCCTTGTTATCGTTGCTTGTATCCGGTACCACCACCTCCGGATACTGTTACCAATTGTGGTGATGGTGGGGTTTTGGGTGCAATAACTGGCGTCATTGGTTCACTGCAGGCCTTGGAAGCCATCAAAGTGGCCTTGGGAGGTTTGGGTGGTGAAGTTCTAGCTGGTCGCCTGCTGATATTCGATGGTGGTCGTTGTCAATTCCGTAATATTCGTCTACGTTCCAAACGTGCCGATTGTGATGTTTGCTCCCCCAAGCCAATGATTACCCAACTGATTGACTATGAACAATTCTGCGGCATGCATGCATCGGATAAGGATATGGCTTTAAATATTTTACCATTGGAAAATCGCTTAACCGTGGAAGAGTATAAAAATGAAGTTTTGCAGAGGAAGCATATATTAATGGATGTACGCCAACCGGCCGAGTTTGAAATATGTCGTCTGCCAAATTCCGAAAATGTCCCTTTGAAGACAATTTTAAATGATTCATATTTGCAGCGTTTCGAAGAGGAGTTAAAAGATGAAGAGCGGGGTATTATTTTACTCTGTCGTCGTGGCAACGACTCGCAGTTGGCTGCCCAACACATTTTGCAGAGATTTCCCCAGCGTGCTGTGTTCGACATTAAAGGTGGCCTACATGCTTGGCATTTTAAGATTGATAATAGCTTTCCTATTTATTAGTAAGAAATTGGGGTTTTTCTTTAAATTTTGAAATAGTTTTTAAGTAATCGTGAGTGCTAATAAACAATAAGGAATGTTATTAATTGAATTTGCTTTGTTTTATAGGTTGCTTTTTCGGAAGAAAATACAATCCATAGTTATTTCACGACTAAACTACTTGGAATCGTACCTTTTCAGTGAAGAGGTTATAACATTATGCCCAAACATGAAAAGTCTTCGGATTCAATTATTGCCTGGGTCTTATGAATTGGGAATTTGCTCATAACTCTTATTTGTAGCAACGGGCCTCTAATGGGAAATTGATCCTGCTTCGGATATTCAACTTGCAAGTAAAAAGCGAGTCATTGCTGCAATGATGTTCCCAGAGGTGATCTGATGGACACTATTTATAACTATAAATAAATGCTAATCAGTTTTTCAATGGCACAAAAGAGCAGAGCGGTTTGAGGTTGTGGAGTCAGAATATTGAGGTTTGTGACGACATAGGTTTGTGAGGTTCACTGGCATCCCTATCAGTAGTGGGACCAACCTTCCTAGTTTCTATGTTGATTACTAGCGACAAAACGACATCTTTGGACTACTAGACTCCGGCATAACCAGTTGCCCATATGCCGTTGAAATTCCAAGTAAACTCAAATATATGGATAATGTTGTGTTTGGGAATTATATAATTGAATCCATCCGTCCAGAGGGCTTCTATATGGGCTTCATTAATTGCTCGCATCTCATCGGATCTGCCACATCCTCGTCATTAAATTTGATATTTGACTAATCGTCTTATTACCAAGGATCAAAAAAACGAATCGCCATGAAATTTCATATATCCTGATGGGACAAAAAAGTAGAGCGGTATGAGGTTATGAAGTCAGGCCGAATTGATGATTAGAAAATGGTCTGAGAAAAAAACGGATTGCCAGGAATTGTCATATATCCTGATGGCACCGAGCTATGGTATTCTCTTGCAATACTTTTTAAAACACCATTCGAAATATGGAACTATGAATAGCCCATTGGTCATTGCCTGGGAGCCTATGCAAGTAATCAAGCGAGGTATTTGAACCCTTTAGGGTTCGGTGTATTAACACGGATTACCAGGAAATGTTATATATCCTGATGACACCGAGGTGATGTCTCTTCTACTTCTTTTTAAAACACCATTCGAAATGTGGAACTATGAATACCCCTTTGGTCATTGTCTGCCGTTTATTTCCTTGCACAAAAGTGTTACTGTTCGAGGTATTAAGCGGTATAGGGCTATGCATAGTTGACATATATAAGTTAGGTACTGAGGCCCTACATGTGGGACTTTGCTTCGACGAACTTTGCCTGGTTTGGACTGAGAGCTGTGATATAAAAGTATATCACGCAGTTTTGTATCTGGAATCACAGTTGATATAGGCTATTTGGCAGGTGGGAGCTGGAAACACTACTGGTCTGCTCAGGCAAAGATCCCATCATCAAGGATTTTTTTCAAAGAATTCCCAGGCTAAGCAGACCACTCTGCTATTTTCTCTCTATAAACCATTTCCTCTCTTTCTCGGATCAAAGGTCTCCGAGTGAAGCAGTTGTTGACTCCCGTGTAGCACTGAATCCTCAAACCAAACCAAAATGATATATTCTGAAAGTCTACAATTTAACCGTTCCTGTTGCAATGAACATAGCCGTTGATCCCTTGGAATGTAGCATTTTCCGGACGTTGAATGGCAACATAATGGGCCTTAGTTTTATATTCCCCATTCGTTGGATATGAAGGAAGTTGAAGACCCAAATGGTAGATGTAAGCAGTAGGCTGTACCATAAGTCCTATGGAAGTAGTGGCAAAGCTGGTTCAGTCTGCAACTGTCCTGAAAATATACTCTCAACCCCTTCATCCGTTATAACTCTCAGAAGCTGACCTGTATGTGCCTTTCTGGTAAACTATGCTGCATCATGATGCGGGGTCTCGCTCTTTATTCCAACGCGAGGAGGCATTCGTAAATATCGAATTGTTGATGTGGCAGTCCTTGTTTGAACTATAACTCCGTTTCAATTAGTCAATCAAAATCATAGATTTTTCCATGCATTCAAATCTTTTTTCGTAGCAAATGTGACCACATGCCTCTTCCACTGCCTTCCCTTCATCCCAAAAACAACCTTCTTCCTCCAGCACTTCAAAAATTTAAAAGCTCCATCAATTTTAAAAACAATTTAATTCATTTTTTATTTTGTTTTCTCGGTATTTTTTTTTTTTTTTTTTTTGGTTTGTTCGCTTGTGGTAGCGAAGCAAACAAGTAAAATAAATTGAATCTTTTCGTCTTCAATTTTTCGTTTCTAAGCCAGCATGAATTATGGGCCAACATTAAAAATTGTTTACTTTATTATCAAAAAAAAAAAGACAACAATGCCACCAATCACTTGAACTTCGTTTACACTCGCAATTTAGATGATGTTTCACGAAGAGAGTGGGAGACCAAGAGAGAGAGAGAGAGGTGGAGTAGTGTTGAGAAAACAAGAGAAGAGTAATAAGTGTCATTAAGCGCCTTTTTTATGACTTGATTTGAAATATCAACAACAAGGCGGGAAGGGACACACACTCAGACGAACAAACACTAATATATACACACATCTGTATTAGAGTATGTTTGTGGTCTGGTTGTCTGCCACATAAACCGCAAACATACATAAAGCCATCACAAGTTACACACGGCCGTATGGGCAGAAAATTCCTTTGGTTACCAAAAGAAAAAAAAGAGGCGAAAAACGAAGAAAAATGAAATCAAAATTAAATTGTTTTCTTAGGATGCGTTATTAGTGTCTGTTGGCATTGCCACAGCCAACAGTTTCCAACTCACTCAATCATCAGTCCCTGGGGTAATTTGGCGAAATGACTGCAGGTTAAAAGGAATTAAAGGTGGCAGGAAATATGACATGGCAAAGGCTTGTGCACACTTGGGTTGGCCGTATGTGGCCAAAGATTATGGTGGCGTATGGGTGTTGTAAAATCATATGAGGCCGTTATGTATACGCCATCCGCAAGGTAAAGGGAGAATGAAGTAAATATTAAAATTGTAATTTTTGTAATTTATTTTCGTCAAAGAAACAAGTAAAAAAGCTGTAAGTTCGGCCGGCCCGAACTTTGAATTCCCTCCGCCATTTGGTACAAATTTGGCAATTTTCAAATTTGGCAAAAATTAAAATCCGTTAAAAGTTCTGTTAAAATCTTAAAAATACCGAATATAGCCGTATATTAGGGTCTATACGACGACGTGGACCTGCATACGCAACTTTTGTCATAAGCTATTACAGTATTCAAATGCGAAACTTGAAAAAAAATCTGTTTATAATGTAGCTGAAATCATAAAAATACGGAATATAGGGAGGTACCCCCCATAAAACGGGGATCCGCACAGACAATTATCTGGCATAGGCTGTGGTATCCATTACGAACTTCAAATACCAAATTTGAAATAGTTCAGGTAAATAATGTCTCTAAAATCATCAAAATACCGAATATCGGGGGGTACCGTTATATGGGGGATATACGAGGACGTGGACCTACATGGCCCATTTTCTGTCTTAGGCTGTAGTATCCATTACGAACTTCAAATGCCAAATTTGAAATAGTTCCGGTAAATAATGTCTCTAAAATTATCAAAATACCCAATAGCGGGAGGTACCGTTATATGGAGGCTATACGAAGACGTGGACCTACATGGCCCATTTTCTGTCTTAGGCTGTAATATCCATTTCGAACTTCAAATACCAATTTTGAAACAATTGCGGTAAATAATGTCGCTAAAATCATAAAAATACCGCATATCGGGAGGGCCTACATGGCCCATTTTCAATACCAAAAGTCCTGCAGACATAATACACATTCGAGTAAAATTGTATCACCTACTTTATTTCGTTCGGAAGCTAGAGTGATTTCCACAGACGGACAGACGGACGGACATTGTTAAATCGACATAGAATTCTATGCTGATCAAAAATATAAATACTTTGTGGGGTCTAAAATGTATATTTCGAGGTGTTACAAACGGAATGACAAACTTAATATGCCCTCCGTACCATAGTGGAGGGTATAAAAATTGCCAACATATCTGGTCACCTTTACCAAATTTTATAAATCTCCTTTTACAACATCAAAAAAGGTGTATTGGGAAAACATTTCTACCTTAAATCAGCACACACATAATCATACTCATTTTTTTTTTCAAAATTTCTAACAACAACAATGAAACACAAAAAGATACGACAATTTCTTGTAACGCTTAAAAGGGTTATCAACTGCCACCAAAGGATTTGTTGCTTTGACGACGTTGTTTTGGTCCTCAATTGTGGAACAATGGCCTGGGCATAAAGGCAACATTAACAACCATTGTTACTCAATCAGAGATAAGCGAGACGGACGGCTACCCATGACCACTGAGAGAGAGAGAGAGATAAACACCAATGGCAAGTGAGCGTAGCAGCATAACGGCAAATGGTTTTCAAATAAATGACATCCATTGAGTGTTTGGGTGAGTGATATTTCTATTTAATCATTTGAATGCACAAAGAATGAGAGAGAGAGAGAGAGAGCGTGATTTGGGGGGAGAGAGTAAGGTGGCATATAAAGTATTGCTTCTCTTTGCATTGATGAATAATTCATCAGGAAATAATCAAATGAGAAAGTTTAATGAAATGTAAAAGTTTTGTGTAAATTGTATTTTGCGAAATAAGAAATGAGAACAATTCGGAGAAGTGCTAAATGTCGTTTGTCATATTTGACCTAGATATGGATTTAATGTTGTTTAATAAATTTAAAATGATTTAAAGCGAATTTATTAAATTGAATTTGATGATCGAGTGGTTTGGCCGGTTAAAAGAGAGAAAATGTAAATCGATAAATTGAAAGGAAGGAGAAATGAGTGATGTTATTGGAATCCCAACAAGGTGTGAAGGTAACGATTTTTTAAGGGATAATTTTTTTATGGTATCCTGGAATTAAAACCTTTTAGTGGGATTATTTAAAAAAATACGCCCCAAAAAGAGTTGTATATTTATCTGACGTCCAAAAAAGGAGTCTTTCAAAGTATAAGGTTACTTTTGAATTTTATTGTAAAC